CCCGCCCAGCCACCCTTGGACTCCTGACCCACAGACACCGAGAGGTAATAAGTGTGCGCTGTTGTTTAAAGCCGCCACATTTCGGGGTCTGTGTTCACAGCAACAGATGTGACACACTGGGGGTTCCCACGTGGCCCCTGAGAGTACAGAGAAGGACAGCGGGTGGGGGGCGTCTAGACGGAGGGCCTCCCTGCCCTCCCCTCCCCTTTGCCTCCCCTCACTCCCTGCACTCCCGCCACGCGACCTCCTTGCCGTTCCTCACATGCACCAGGCACAGTCCTGCCCCAGGGCCCTTGCACTCGCTTCTCTACCTAGCATACTCTTCTCCATTTCACCGTTCAGGCCTGGATCGTCTCCTCCTCAGCGAGACCTTCCTGCACAACTGGCTGAAGCCGGCTCCCCGACCCGTTCTCCACCTCCATCATAACTCCTACCCCCGGTCAGTTTAAACCTCCTATTTAATCTGTGGGCCCTCCAGTGACTGCGCCCTTCGAGGCCAGGAGCCCCGTGAGGGCAGCACTCGCTACAGCCCAGGGAGGCACGTGCCCACACTTCGCAGTGCCTCCAGCACCGGGACCCGCTCCCTCCTCCCTGGTGGTGACCGCGGGAGTCACGACAAGGTCTGGGGCCAGGGCACCAGGGGCTTGGCTCAGGAGGCAAGTGTTGGAGGAGGAGCCTCGGGGCACGGCCTGCTTAGTGTCTCTAACCACTGAACCACCGACTCCAACACCCCAGTAGCCCCAGCGACCGGCTGGAAAGCAGCAGGCGCGTGGGCACGGCAACAAAGAGCTGAGGCCCGCTGGGTCTGAACCACACTACCCGATGCGCCCAACAGCCTGGTGAGGTGGGTGCCACGGCCCCGAGAAGCCAGGTCACCTGCCTGAGGTTCCCCGGGAAAAAGTGGGCACGGATGCACGTGATTCCGGGTGGCCGGGCTCCAGCCTGAGCCACAGGCACACGGGTGGAAGGGGACAGGAAGAGCCAGCCATGCTCGAGGGGGCAGGGCCTCCCAGGACGAAGGAAGAGCCGGGGCAAAGGCCCTGGGGCAGGGCTGTGCCTGCAGAGTTGGGGAATCAGCACAGAGGCCCAAGGGGCTGGAACAGAGTGAGGAGAGGAGAGTGCAGAGATGTGACGGACCTTGCTGCTCCTGTCACCCTGGGGACCCACACGGGGCTGGTGAACCTTAGGGTCCGTCTCCAGGCCTTCCCAGCCTGGCGGCTTCCTGGAGGCAAGCCCGGGATCCATCTTGGCCCCCGCTATGACTGGAGGCCAGGCCAGGGCTGGAGGCTGATCTGGGGGCCGAACGAACACCCACGCCACCCCCGCTGCTCCTGTCACCGGGGCAAAGGCCTCGCCCACCTGGTTCTGGCCTCTGCCTGGGCTCCTTCCAGGCTCCACCAGCTATGGGCTTCCCTCCGAGCCCGGCATACAGTGAGCGCTCAATAACGAGCTGGGTGACTAGCGCGTGTATAATGGGGTATCGAACAGCGTGTGAGAGAACACGCTGGCTCTGAGTTACATGGTCAGGAAGTAAGAGCCAAGCCAAGCTTAATGCATTAAAATGGAAAATGCGGGAAAGTGCGGGGGGTGCCTGGGTGGGTCGGGCGAAGCGTCATCTGACTTTGGCTCAGGTCGTGGTCTCCTGGTTTGTGAGTTTGAGCCCCACATCGGGGTCACTGCTGTCAGCACAGAGCCCGGAGCCTCCTTCGGATCCTCTGTCCCCCCCTCTGCCCCTCCCCCACTCGCACACACGCGCTCTCTCTCCCTCTCTCTCAAAAATAAACAAACGTTTAAAAAAACATAAAATGCAGAACAGAGTTGGAAGATTCACGTTTCCCCATTTCAAAACGGGCTGCAAAGCCTCGGTGATCAAGGCAATGTGGTCCGGGCAACATACAGATGGGGACGCCCGTCTGGACGCCCTGGAATGGTCCAGGATACATCGGTGGGAATCCAGAACCAAACATGCACATTCCCGGCCGGCTGATTTCGACGAGCACCCAGACGACTCAGTGTCGACCGGCGGCTCTGGGACAACCGGGTTTCCACGCACGAGGAGTGACGTTGGGCCCTACCTCACACCGTATGCACTCGGAACACGAGACGCAGCAGAAATCTAAGCCCGCGGAGCGGATGGAACCATAAAGCTCTGGGAAGACAAGTAAATCATTGCGTTGAGTCAGGCCGTGGTTTCTTGGACGTGACCGCTTTAGTCCAAGCCACCAAAGGAAACACGAGCTGGACTTCCTCAAAATGAAAACGTCTGTTCTGCAGGGCGCCCGGCCAGCTCGAGTCAGCACAGTGTGCGACTCTGGATCTCAGGGTTGTGAGCTCGAGCCCCGTGTGGGGCACAGAGATCACTAAAAAAATAAACTTAAAAATAACGTTTGCACTTCAAAGGCCACCACCAAGAAAGCGGGGAGGCAACTGACAGAATGGGAGAAGGTATCTGCCAATCAGAGGTCTGATGAGGGAACTGTATGTAGCATATATAAAGAGCGCTTACAATTCAACAATAAAATGAACCCAAACGAAAAATGAGCAAAGGATCTCAACACGCACTTCTCCGCAGGAGGACGTATAGATGGCCAGCAAGCCCAGGAACACATGCTCCGCGTCACTGACCATCAGGAAACACAAATCAAAACCCCAGCGAGACACCACTTCACGCCCACGAGGACGGCTAGAATCAAGCAGACACACGGTGACAAGTGACGTCCAGGACGTGGAGAAGTCAGAACCCTCACACACGGCTGGTGGGACTGGAGAGTGCGGCCGTCATCCATACGTCATGGACACCGCCCGTAACCAAAAGTGGGAACAACCCAGATGTCCGTCAACAGATGATCGCCATCCACTTCACGGAACGTCACTCGGCCCCGAACGGGAGCGAGTCGCCGACACGCGCTGCCCCACGGACGGACCCTGAACACAGGACCCAGCGAGGAAAACCAAGGGTGAGGGCGTCCTAAGGCGGAGAGAGCACGTGCCAAGGCCCTGTGGGAACAGGACAGGATGCTTTTGGGGAACAGAGAGCCAGGGTCTGGGGTGGCTGCAGGGGAAGGTGCGCCTGGGGGAGCTGAGAATGGAGGCGGGGGGGGGGGCACGGGCAGAGCCCGGACCACCGGCCGACCCCTCCTGCCCCAGGCTGAGACCCACTCCCACGCGTTCTGCCCCCTCCTGCATCCCCGCCCGATCTCGATCTCACTGCACAAAGCGAATGTTCCCGGAGTGGTAAACAGGAAGCCTTGCAAAGGATGGGGGGAGGGTGGCCATGAATCCAGAACTCGGCAGGCCTTAGGCAGGCGGACGGCTTTCCAAAGCTCCGGCTCTCAAAAGAAAGAGAAAGAAGGTTCCAGAACTTTCACCACTCTTGCCACAAACACGGCCGCGCACACGGCCCTGCCAGGCACAGGCCTCCCACCAAAGTCCAGGCCGGAGGCCTGAGGGGACCAGGTGGGCTTCCCGAGGGAGCCGAGAGCAGGGGCGAGGCTCACTCACAGCTGCTCAGGCAGAAGGTTCCGGTGCTGGGGTCAGGCCCGGGAGACCAGCTGCTCCCAGGTCTCCAAGTGTGATCCCGGATCCTAGCGAGGGATCAAAGATCGCCATCCAGGACAACTCTGGACGCACCGGCACAACGTGGGTCCTGACTGTGGACTCTGCACGGATGTTACACTTCCTGAACCTGATCTCCGCACTTGGCGGAGGGGGCGTCTGTCCGCGGGTACAGAGCTGCTCACCATTCCGACTGCGCATCTGCAGACCCACCCCCCGGCTACCGCAGCCCCCAATCGGTACTCGGGAGCCCTTCCCGGTCACCTGGAGACGTACGCGGGGCACCGAAAACTGTCACCTCCCGTGCACGCGTCCAGCCGAGCGTAGTCTGCTTCCTGTCTCCCCCCTTGTGCTGTAGACGGGGGCCCTTTCTGTGGGCTACCGAGAGGCGGGTCTTAACGTTTTGTGCCGTTTGTTGGTGGTTTTCACCGTTCACAACGGCCCCCAGGCTCAGAGCTGCGGTGGTCGGGCGTTCCTGAGCCCAGAGGACGGCGACGCGCCTTAGAAAGTGTGTTAGACACGCTTCCACCCGGCAGGAGTTGGCGCTGCTCGTCACGAGGTCGCTGCTAACGACGCAACAGTATGTATCCGACAAGGGTCTTTATGCAGAAGCACACACGGTGTGAGGTTGCACACGGACGTGATCTGGCGATGGAAACGTGGGGACCAGAGGCTCGTGGGGACCTGCGTGTTTCCCAGGAGCCGCACCTCAGTATTCCCAAACTCCACAGAACTGCGAATAATGAGAACCCACCTCTGTACTTAAGGACGAAGGGGCTTCCAACTGACTCTCAAAGGACCCGCAAAATCGCACACAGGCGATAACACCCATTCAGAGAGACGTGTCGGCAGCTGGCGAATCTCAGCTAAGAGCCTCGGGGTGTTTGCCGCAGTATCTCGCAACTTTTTCTGCAGCCTTGAACGTTTTCAAAATACGACGTTAAAAAAAAAAAAAATTAAAGGTACGTGCGAATGCAGAAAACCACCTGGAATGATTGACGGTTGGTTACCTCCTCCTAGAAACAGAGAGGGCAAGACACAAGTCCTCCCTGTCTCCTGACCACAGGGCAGGCTGCTGCTTTTTAAAGGAAACGTGTTATTACTCGTAGTTACAGGCTCGCCTGCTGCAAGAAGACAGGCAGATGAGCGGGACAGAATAGAAAGTCCAGAAATAGACCAGCCGCATGCAGGAATCTGGGATGTAATAAAGGGGGCATCTCAAATCGGTGAGGGAAGCAGATTTTCCAGAGACCGCTGGGGCAACCCCGAGCCCCCTGGAAAACCGTGGAACAATGAAATCCTCATACGCCGTACGCGGGGGTACATCCCAAATAGAGCAGGACTTTAAATGCTTAGAAAAAGGCGAAACCACGTTAGTACTAGAAGAATTAGAACCTCAGGACGGAGAACACATTTCCACCCGTGACATCAAACTGAGAAACCGTCAAGGAGAGATGGATAAACTTGACCACATAAATACAAAGATACCTGCCCGAGATCAACTATCATCATGAGAGAAAACGGGGAAGGACTACTTACGCCTGTGTCACCAATTTAAAAAAAAAACACCAAAAAACTTTCACGATATACAAAGAGCTCCCACAAATCAATAAGAAAAAGACTGGTAGCCCAATCGAATACGGGAAAGACGCAGCTCCGTGGTTCCCATCAAACAGAGAGAGTTCCGAGACGTGCGTTATTAAACGTGGCAAAAGGGGTGAGCGATGAAAAGCGGTCTGGCCCAAGCGCACCCCAGAGCGTCTTCATACGCAAATGCCCAAACAGCACCCTGCTCCTTAAACCCTCAGCGGCAACCCCACGCATCCAGAACAAAGGCCAAGAAACGTGTGCGTGGCACACGTACGAGACAGAAAGCAGTTGTGACAAGACACCGGGGGTTCCTTTTTCCAACCGAAGTCACAGGCTAGGCCCCCAAAAGGCCTTCGCTCACTCTGGCTCAAGCACTTAGGGCGCCCTGGGCCGGACCCCAAGCCCTCCAGCGTGGCTCAGTGGGGCAGCAGGTGCAGGGCCCTGTGGCTAATCCGCCAGGTCAGTAATCCCCACGGTGGGCAGTCCGCGGCTCCAGGCCCTGCCGGCCAGCTGGCGGCAGCAGGCAATCCCCAGGGGGGTCTCAACCTGCCCGGTCACGAGTGGGGACACGTGTCAGTCACAGCGGCAGGCGGTGCGAGCAGGAAGGCCCGGGAGCCCGAGACCCTCCCGGAGCCCGGGCCTCCCCGGCGATAAATGCCGATGTCGCGTAGCTGTCTGTCGTTCAACGAGCACCACCCCGGGGGCCTCGGGCCTCTCCCGATTCCTGTCCCCCGTGCCCTCATCTTGAGAGGAGCTGGGCTGGGGGGGCAGGGACTTCACTTGCTCAGAGGCACAGCTGTCTGCGGCCAAGGCAGCGTGAGACCCAGGCCAAGACCCGGGCTTCCCCGCCCAGGGTCCGTGGGACTCCACCTGCCTTCCCCACCCCC